TTTAGTTAACCAATCTTCCGTGAGGAATTTTATAAATATTATTTTATTTTAAAAATAGTCATACAGTAAAACTTTTTTAGGGTATATGTTTCTATGAATTTTAACACCCGTAAGGAGCTCTGGTGGCACAGTGGTTAAAGCATTTAGCTGCTAACCAAAAGGTTGGCAGTTTGAACCCTCCAGCTGTTTCATGGGAGGAAGATGAGGCTGTCTGCTTCTTGCTTCTTGGAAACCCTTTGGGGGAGTTTTACTGTGTCCTATAGGGTCACTGTGAGTTGGAATTGACTCCCTGGAAGTGGTTTTATAGATTTCTGTAACCATCTCCACAATCAGAATATAGCATATTTCTCTCCCCAAAACTTCCTTGTGATATCCTTCTACAGTCACCTCTTCCTTAACTCCTGACACGTGGCAACCACTGACCTGTTCTCCACCACTAAAGTTTGAGTTTTACATTTATAAGAATGTTACGTAAGTGCAGTCATATGGTTTATAACCTTTTGAGTCTGGTTTCTTTCACTCATCATAACATCTTAGAAATTCACACAGCTTGTCTTAGTATTAGTTTCTTCCCTTTAATTACTGACTAGTAGTCCATTGTGTGGATGCACGTCAGTTTGTTTATCCATTCACCCATTGAAGGACATTTGGATTGTTTCTAGTTTTTGGAGATTATGAGTAGAGCAGCATGTAACAACAACAACATGAGTAGAACTGCTGTAAACATCTGTATATAGCTTTTTGTGTGAACATAAGTTTTCATTCCTTTGGGGTAAGTACTATGAGTGGGATTGCTGTGACATACGGTAGAAGTATGTTTAACTTTATAAGAGACTGCCAAACCATTTTTCATAGTGGCTTTACCGTTTTGCATTTCTACCAGCAGTGTATGAGAATGTCAGCTGCTCTTCATTCTCACCAGCAGTTGGTGTTAATCATTTTTTATTTTAGCCATTCCAAGAGATGTGTAGCAGTATTTTATCATGATTTTAATTTGCAGTTTCCTAATGGCTAATGATTATTGAACATCTTTACATGTGTGTTTCTTTCTTTAATTTTTTTGCAATTCTTATATCCTCTTTGGTGAGGTATCTATTCAACTTTTTTTGTCTGTTTTAAAATTGTGTTGTTTTCTTCCTGTTGAGTTTTAAGAATTTTTTAATTTATTCTGAATACAAGTTCTTTCAAGGATTGCACTGCCTTATGATTTGTGATTTGGGAGCTCTGGTAGCATAGTGCCTAAGGCACTTGACTGCTAACCAGAAGACTGGCGGTTCAAACCCACCAGCCACTCCTTGGAAGGAAGGTTGGGCAATCCTACTTCCGTAGTCATGTTGTTGTTGTTATGTGCC